AAAACAATCCGGGGGCGTTGTATCCTAAACGGAGGACGATGAACTCAGCTGTTTTGGACGTCCGCGCGAGGAAATTCAAGGTAAAGACTCAGGGTTTTTGCACGTTTGACCCTCGTTTCTCAAAATAGATTTACTGTACAATCGAATGCACGCGTGTTCCTTAAATATACATATGCACTGTCTACCCGCTCGTTCGACTAATCCGGGAAATTCGCATCGAATCAATTGGTTACAGACACTGTTTATTAAAAAGCAAAATTGCTTTACGCTGAACCCAGCTATCTGCAATTACGACCGGCAATTCATCGAGACTTTCACATAAGTATCTGTGATTTAAACGCTAATTATCGCAGCTGCAGATCGAACTGAATCGCGGTGAAAGCGAGCGTACTGATGCATAGTTATCAGCAGTGCAGTGAAAGATACCGGCAATACCTATGATTCATAAAGAATAACTACTTCCGGTTTCCTGTAAAATTTCTACGAATTAGTTACTCGTCGAAGACTGAGAGCGTCATAGAGGATTTATGTAGAGGTACATATGTATACCGATTAAACACTAAGCCGAGCCCGTTTTTCTCGAAATCACGCCAAGTGGAAATGATTCCGTTCAGCTGTATGGAAATTATGAGTCAACCTTGGCTAACGACTAGCTGCGAGCACCAGAGCTATCGCGCCGTGTCCAAGGAATCGCAGTTCGCGCAAGTTAACGTCGTCCCCGAACAAGGCTGCGGTAAACGCTCTCGTCTCTCAGATAACACGTGCGCTCGTATCTTCTATCTCGCGTGTATCAGGCTTACGTAATGTCGAAATACATCGCAGTATTATGCTTTGTCAACGACAACGGTGAAACGATTAGTTACGAAACTGCTCGAATCTACACACGAGTAACGAGTTCCGAGTCTGCCTCCTCGGTGCATCGTCATTACAGCTTCACTAGTTATAATTTCTTCCAATTCTTAATAGAATCTATTAACTACTGTTTCAATTTCGGTTAAATAAATTATTAAACAGCACAATATGTGCTACGATGCGAGTAACAACTTCCTCTTTTTCTTCGCGATTTCCACAGTGTTTTAGCGTGGATATTGAAACTGAAAGCATGTCTTATAAAAGATTGGTTCCAGAGTAAGAACATCGAAGTTCTCAGTTGGCTAGCATTGTTTCCTGACATTAATATGGTAGAAAATGTATGGGGATGACTTTCGAGACAAGTTTACGCAGACGGTAAACAGTATGAAAATCGTGAGGACCTTATCAACGGTGTAAAGATAGCACGGTCCACAATTCAACAATCGTATTTACTACTAAACTTTAGGCGATCACACTGGTAAAGCCCCTTAAGGCTTTAAGATAATCGTGCGACATGCAGGGAATACTCAGGATGTGCTACTTGCACCCGAGAAAGTGGAACTACGCAAGAAAACTTTCTGAGTCCGTTGCGATTAGCCCGATGAATCATTGGCAGGATCGTAAAAACATGACAGAAACCGCGATACATACAGTCATTACTTTACTAGATTAGGCGCTACTAGAGAGTAAACACTGCGAGAACACCACGACACTACTGCCATAAAACTATTCATCACTCTTCCACTCATCCACAACAGTTTGATATTATAGACAATCATGTAAAGGAAAAGAACGACAAAAAGCTCATCGCAATTTTCATTGCCACCAATAAGTCAACAAAAACAATCACTATCGATCGCAGTAAATAGAAACTATCTACTAACAGAGTACACTAATGTTTATCAGCGAGAAAATATCATCGCAAACACTGATTGGAAAGGACTTTCAGCGCTCATAACGGTAAGGGCTCCCGATTGACTTTTTCAATTGATGCATTCTATCATCACGGAACACTCGTGTATTCCGGTGCATACAAACGCTCGTACACATCCTGTTTGTACGAACGGTTCTTCGATAATGTGGGTCAGCTCGTTTACGTGGTTCTCATACTTATCTAAGTAGTTAGTAGTAGTTTTAATAGAATCTATAAATTGCAACAAAAAAACTGAGGTAATCGAAATGATAAACAAAGTGGAGAAACCAGAAAAAAAACCTTCAGCCCGCAAAGTTGACGCGGATCATGTTTTATTGGCTTGAACGTACCGACTGATAAGGAAACGCAAAAGGAGGTCGAGACTCATATTGAAAGCGTGGATTACACCGCAGTGCGAATATTGCCGCATTTGTAGCTAACTCTTTTAATAGAAACAGTTTTAGTCAATTTCCGTTAGTATCAGGTAAACAATTGTGCGTGTCCTTCTCTTAATTGGAATTCAAAAAACGTGCAGAGATATTCATGTTCTCATTACTTCTCTGCACTGCAATTCTATATGTATACATCACCTGTAGCACATGTAAATCAAAGCTTGTCGACATTAATTATAGATAGATATGTCATCAAACAATAAGGTGCCTAAATGTTTACAGCCGCTTGCTTTCAAAGTTGGTGGCACGTGATTACAAGATGCTTCAATGTAATCTGAACTGTATCAAGGAGTCTGCTTAGCCGTCATTATTTTTTGTAGAATATATTGAATCAGCAATAACTGACGTAAGCGATGCACTCCTACGTGGACTCTTTAAAATAATGCGGCTGATTGGCGTCAATTGACGCGGAAGCTTATTCAGTCCATCCAACGGCTACAAAAAATTCTAATCCCGCTGTTTCCCGAAGGCAGAAGGCAACTTATCCAGAAGATTATTACGTCTTACTAGTCCGCGTAGGTGCGAATCGTTAAAGTGTGGCACAAGGTTACTGCAGCGAGTGCACGCGCGCGATGACAAGGTCGAAACTAACGATGAGAAACCGATGCATCCAGAATACAGGTAATCGCGATAAAGAGGCAAGCATCCATTCTGAAACTCGCGTCACCTTTCCCTGGGACGCAGCTATTCTCGTTTTTAAGTTCAGTTATCAAAACTAGCTTGGATTTATCAGCGTACTATGAACGATTAATGGAAAATGTGATGCAATTTTCACAAGCAAGTGTCAAATGTTAAGCAAACTTGTGTCCCTTATTTCAAAACCTCATCAATTTTTTTATATTGGGAGTAAGGCAATGATATGAGCTGAGCTTACATTTTCATTTACGAATAAAAGCCCCCGCTAAAGTACAACCGCACTGGGTGCGTACACGCACACGTGTCTTTCATCGTGTTAAAAGTCTGACGTAATAGAGAGTCACGGTTCGTAGGAACAGCGCAAAATTACGAGAACTAGATGAACATTTGTGTGCGATTAAAAACAGCCCTTTGTCCCAGCCCTTCAGCTTCTCGAGTTTTATATGTCAGAGCTATTAGAACATGTAATTACTCACGTGCGTTTTAACACGTTAGCGCAATGACGCAACGCGCGATCGAAATTAACAAGTAAAACGAGAAATCTCAAGCACGATTTTACCACGACAGAAAAGGGACGGAAGGTCAAAGTTAACGTCGCTGGCGACCAAAATTCACAGTGACAGATATATAAATAGTAAAACGGGAAAACAACTACTTCTAAATTCGATTAATTATAAAACCAGAGACTATACTTATTTCTACCAGTTTATGTAACATTCATGAACCATTTTCTCTCATGAATTAATAAAATGTGCAGTGAAAAGATCCTTCAGTTTTACTTTTATCCCCCAAATGCGTCCATCTAAATATATATATTATTTTGATGTCACTACTTAATTTATCTGCCAAGAAATCATAGTAGGCACGCGTATTGTACGTTGCCAAATAGCAACAGAATTTTGTGCATTGAATTTTATTATTTGCAAACACGACATCGGATATCTCGTATTAACACGCACCCGTGTCAGAGACAATGCCCGTTCACCCTCTCGAGCCTTTGCACGTGTGCATCCAAATGCATCATAAGTTTGTTGCAGCGATTGTTTCGCGACTCGTCGCAACGTGTCGCGAATCGATCGAAGACGTGGAAACGTTCCCTCGATCGATCTGTACCTACACTTTAAAAAGAAACGATCGACGGGTTTTCGTAATGGAGCGGAGCAATGTTGTGTAACGTCGTTCGAAGTGTTCGAGGTTCGAGGCAACGCGTCGAAACGATTTCGAAGTATAAAGTAATCGTCACGTGTTTAAAGTGTCTGTAACAATCGGTGGACTCGGGTCAAATATGCCAACGCAAGGCTAACCAGCCTTAGCCGTTCGAATTCAAATGGAATCGCGGCTCTAAGCAACCGTTCCAAATCATTTGGATACGGTGAATTTGGAACGCAATGAACTCAATAGAACACATGATTTCTGTCATTCGTGAAATTATCTATTGGTCGTGGGTAGACAATGTTTTTATTCGTAGACGATTATTAAAAATAACGTACGTAAATGAAAAAATTTGAAAACAATGAGTATCGTCACTATAACTGCAAATGAACGCATAGACGGAGAACAATTCTTTAGAACTCCTAAATTTCTACCTGGAATATTACCATGACGCACGTTCTATCGTGGCGTGATTTTCCAACGGTATGTTCTTAACGTCTGACTTATCACGGTAAAGGTAAATCAAACTAACTGAATAAGTTCGCAAAACCGATTTTAAAGGGTCATGCGTGCTAAGGGAAAAATCGAAACTCCTCGTTTGGACAAGGTACGCGTAGCCAGAGATAAGATACATAATATATACGGATTAACTATGTGCTCTCTCTTTTTCTCGCAACTCAATACACCTACAACAGGCTCATTTATGCGAACGCGTCACCAACACATGTCCGGCCAGGAAATCGTGCTTGATCATTTTGATAATAGTCACACTGTAACCCCCTGATGGCGAGAGAAAAAGCACAATGTTCGCAATATGGTACAGTAATACAGGTGAAAACATGGTGTCCCTTTTGTGGTCACACGCAATACACGCATCCAGTACATAGCGTTTGCATTGATACGCGTAAAAGAGCAAGAAAGAGAATATTTTCCCCCTTGGGAGGAACAGAAACGAGCTGTCATGCAGCGAAAAGGGAAGAGTCGGGCGTACTCACCGATTTATAATATCACGCGAGGTAGCACGATCCACCGAGCCTGGAGTCGTTCCCGTGGGTCAAATGATCCTGACGAGCCCCATGGTTTTCCGGAACTGTCGACGCACTCGCGAATTCGTCTCTCGCTGTTCCAATCCTTCTGTCACGTCGTCCAAGACGAGCCCCTCGGTTGCCCGTTGCGTGCGAACTCGATGAAGGGGATTTGACGGGTGCAGGATTACATCGATGCAAGCACTTATGACCACCCCGATGGTCTGTTGCCAACTGACCCAGACAGTGACAGCTCTCGGCAAATAACCACGAGCACCAACGCGTGTTCGATAAAGTAACTACTCGAACGCTCGAACGATGATACACGAAGGTCTGTCTGAAACTGAAACGAAAAAAATGCGTAAACATCGTAAGCTTTCCTCAGAGTATATTAATTATTGACCCTTACGGGATCTTAGCTGACCACAATCACATTATGGCGTTCGCTATAAGCCTGTTAATAACACGGAAGAATGTTGTACGATTTTGAAACAACTGATTCCGAGAGAGAGCAATAATGTTTTTTTCGTACATTTTTGTTTCATTTTGAGATTTATATAAATAATCCGAAGGAAAATATACCTGCGAGGTACACGAAGCGATGAGTCATTAGTTTCTAGCCTTCTCCGAGACGGATATTTCATTTAAAAGTCGATAAAACGCGAATTGAAGAGAGTTGAGAAGGATACAATCAAGGAATTTTTTTTCGAACAGTTGTCGGCACTGGCGATCATATGGCAATCAGCTGTAATTCACGTTTCCTCAATGAATATAGGACTGCAGTTGACTTACAAAATAAATACGTACAGATATTAAACAAGAATATATTATTTATGTGGTATTATGTGTATCATCTGTGAATCTTAATTTTATTAATTATATTGCGTAATTATTCTATCAAGTCATTAGACGTGATTGCGTCAATTAAAATGTGTCAGAAATATTTGAACAGAGTATTTTAATGTCAAGGTTAATAGATGTAACAATTAACAGGGTTGATGTATAATTATCTGCCGTTCACGTAGGCAAGCTTTTGTTAGTGAAAATTAGCGGTTTGTTTATTTTTTTATATAAAATATAATTAATTGTTTAGTTGATATGCGTATTGAAAATTATATTTATATTCTTTATAATATGCTTTACCATTACGAAAAAAGATGAAAAGCAGTATAGTCAATTCGCCATCTAAACGAACTTTTTAGCGAGGGAATAATTAGCTAAAGACAATGTCAGGAGTAGTTTGCCTGCTTAAAATCAGGTAATGCCAGCTAGGTGAACAATCCAGGAAGAGATCGACCATCGGACTTCAATGATCAGACACTTCTGGCAGAAGAATCTCGTCACTGGAGACGAATAATGCCTACCTTCTAAAAACGTCAAAAGAAAAAAGGACGTTCACTGTAAGAAGACAATGTGGTGTATTTAATGGGACAGAAATAAAATCATCTATTGGGAAATCATTTTAAACGGCATTTTGTTATTGATGGAATGAAGGTGATAAGCGTCAACAAAAATGAAATGAAAAATAAATTTTTATGATTTTTTTCTTATAATAAATATTGTTTAAAACTCGGCGGACAATTATGCATAAAAATATTACGAATTACTTAAGAGTTAAATGAGAGCAAATCTAAAATTAGCCAATTAAAAGTTTAAATAAAACGATTCATTCATTATAATATCTAAATGATTTTACCTCGTTGAGTTTGGAGTCCCTATACACATAAAACAGTTGCAAAAGCTTGATTCGCTTCGTTAAGTGGGACTGGACACCTTTCCCTATCCTATTGTAAACGCAAGTCTCCACTCCAAAAATTGCTTGATATGATTACACGATACGATCATGCCACACAAATACATCCCACCCAAAATACCTCCCACTTCGCTGTCTCAGTATAAAACCGCATTTGAACTGAGAAACAACTGTCTGCGAACTATTTCGAATTTGTGTTTTGTTTTCCATCAGTACACTACAAATACTACGACTGCGATGAGACATGCGATCAACTTGCATTCCCCTTAATAAATATTGTTACCGAAAAATAAACAGGGCACTATTTTTACATACTTGGACCCTCCAATACTACGTGTTTATAGCATTCATAATATCCATTAAAGATACATATATTTTAAACGAATCTGCAGGGCAGAAAGTATTGGTCAGTAAAAAAAATTTATTATTATTAATACTAACGTTTTAAATGTGTTGGATACAAATGTATGGAGTATAACGTTCAATCGGTTTCAATTGTTTTTCATGATAACATTAAACAAAGAACTATAAATGCCTATAAAATGTACATTTGTTGTGATTTAATAAAAGATTTATTTACAAATATCAACCATTTTTTAGGATGAAGAATCCAAAATACATCCCGGATGATGTACTAATCCGTAATGTCAACGACAGATATTGACATGGTATGCACATTTATAATGTATTTAATCAGTCTTAACTGGATCATTTTTTACCAGATTTTTTTATACCGCCTGTAACAAGAGGTCCCCTTTGACTTGCTTTTTTTGCAGCTTCGGCAAGGGCTTTCTGTTGTTCCTTTTGCTTTTGCTTGAATGCTACATCTTCATCATCCATTAACTTTTGTTCCTTTTTCGGTGCTTTGAGAGGCTTTTTCTTACCACCTTCACGACTGGCCATTCTAGAAGTACATACCTAATCTTATGTCAAATTCTTGGAACAATCAATAAAATCAAATCAAATCATATTAAACGATTAAGAAATTAACAAGTATATCTATATATTAGCATTAATTTTACAGAACGTACATTACGTCGACTTTCAAGAATGTCCAATAAAAACTCTATTGCGTTAACGTTTTAAGTCTAAATCTGAAGGATTATACAGATTATTTAATATGAATAAAATCAATTAAAATACCAAAAATCATCATAAGTTAGTATACAAAATTCAGATACTGTATCGAACCAACGTGACAAACGCATGGGACAATACAATGAATCGTAATTTGAATTGAACCGACGTTTATTCAAATAATGTAGAATTAAATCACTATAATACATTACCTTGTGATCAACTTCGAACTTTCCTGTGCAACAGTAAATACTTTTAAAAGTTTAATGTAGAAGTTAAAACCACTTATAAAGCAATAAGTTTGGTTAGCAGTGTTATCGCATCTAAGAACTGTCCAAGTCCCAAGTGTCTGCAAGTATGTCGCATAGAATTTATGACAGCTGTGGTGCCCCCTATCATTGCAAAAAAAATTTGGCAAAACTTCGGGTTGGAATTGTTCAGGACGTTTCAATTTACATAGATTTAAAATATGTTCACAGGAATTATTTTTGGCGACTCAACAAGAATTTTGCAAATAACAGTTGTGCTAGAGAGAAATTTAATCGATGCCCTATTGCAGAATAATATTGCGAACAAGGTATACGAATATACCTAGTACGTGATAATTTTCCCTCCAACATTCGAGTTCGAGTGCTCATTTGAAGAGCAAAACATGCTGTAAGTACTCGCGCTGTGCTGTAAGAGAATTTGCATCTTTCCCGAGTTCTTTAAAGTGTTCGAAAAAGGAAAGTGATTCTTTGCATATTTGTATAAACTGCAAACATAACGATATGCCAGAATGAGTTTAAATTTGAATTTAATTGCGGCAGCATGCGATGGCATGGGTATTGGTGTAAAAGGAACTTTACCATGGAAACTGAAGTACGAAATTTGTATGATTACATAACGACTTAAGTATAAACAACATAGCATATTCTAATCTCTTCTTTATCTTACGATTAAAGAAGTGAAATGGCTTTTTTTACATCAATGACTTCGAATACGAAACACCCAGATAAAAGGAATGTTGTTCTTATGGGACGAAGGACGTGGGAATGCATTCCAAAGAAGTACAGACCGTTACAAAATCGAATAAACATAGTTCTATCGTCGCAATTTTTGTAAGGATAATTTTTATCGGTGCCGTAAAACAAATACTAAGAGAAATTAAATTATAAATATCATGAATATGTAGGGATTACGGAAAAGATGCGATCGTATGTAAAAACATTCCACATGCTCTTGAAATCATTGGAAAACCTCCACTGAAAGATCAAATTGAGAATATATGGGTTATAGGAGGCAGTTCTGTGTATAAGG